ACAATGACTGGGGTAAGTTGTCACCTGGAGACTAAATTATTTTCCCAACACTGAGATTCAATTTGGGTGAACACAGTTTAAGGTAGATATAATTCTTCTAGTTCCTATTTTTCATAACTTACACTGTGGCTTTTTCATATCTTTACTGTTGGCTTTTCACAAGATTTGAAAGTAATTTTACTACAACTTGAGTGCAATGTTTTGAGTGCAGTATGGTGTTTTAGGCTCAAAATGTAACTGATGCTTGAATACAAAACTTCCTCAGAGGACGGTTCTGTAGATGAGAGAGATATAAGAAGATGTATTAACTGCATATTCTTTTTAAATATACTAAAGGGCAGTTGTCATTTCCATAAGTACTGTGCTGAGGCATCCCATGGACTTTTACATTCCTCAAAGGGTTTTAAATTAGAAGGAATTATCTTAAGGAATGGTAAATGTGTTTTATATAGCCATTTTAAGAATGGAAATATATGTTCTGTTTATTACATGCTATAGAAAATCATCTTATCTTACAGCTGGGAAAAGTGTTCTCATGGTAAAGTTTAAATGGCAAGGACAAGGAAGAGATGCCATTCTGGTTCATAAGTTGTCTATATAGAATTATTTTGTATATTGTAAAGGGAAAATATCTTCTATTGATAATGGAATGAAGTTGTTGAAATCAAAGGTGTTTCTAGTTCACAAAGGGAACTAGAAAATAGTTGGGAAAGTAGTTGCATTTTTCCTCTTTCTTACTTGGCAAAGTAGCTGCATTTTTCCTATTACTGTGATGACCTGGTGATTAAAGAACTTTAATGGAGTTTTTGTTTCCTTTTAATGCAAAGGCATAGAATTAGTATCAGAAATTTCAGAAGATGAACTGAAGGCTGCATCTGGCCCAGTACCTGAGCTTCCTGACGGAATTAGTGTAGCATATACTATCCCAGACAAGGTAATGTATTTATTCTTTATGAATTTTTGAAAAACACATTGTAGATTAAATTTATAATAACCAGCTTGGTTACCCTTTAAACCTAAAACAGCATTCCATCTTGAACAATTCCAGTGAAATGTCACCTCAGTTCATTTGATTATTCTTTTTTATTGTCCATTTTTGTGTTCCTGGGAAAGATACTTCTTTAAGTGGGGATGCTAGTTTGAATGTACTGCTGAGATGATAGGAATGAATGCATTTGGGTGCTGGGTGAAGGACAGCAGATACCACTTTCTCAGTTGATATTTTGGTGACTAGTTATTTTTTACTATACATATCTTGTAAAAACTGTATGTAGTCAAAGAGCAATGAATATACCTGGGGAACATAAAATCTGAATGTCCTGCAGTAAGAACATTCTAACTCCTAGTCAAAATAGTTTACAATTGAAGCTTTTAATCACTTAGGCCTAATCTCACAACTGAGTGCCTGCTTCTAGGAAAATGTGTGGTGTAACAGCAATAAAGCTGATTTGTGGGGGTTTCTTGTTTACTTTTTTTGTTGACAACTTTTTCTTCCTGTTCCTAACAGGAAGAGAATTTAATAACTGGGGAGACAGTAGCAGAGTCTGAAGAAAGCCTAGAAGAACTCATGGCCAAAATGAGAAACATGTAGAAAAACAAATATTAAGTGCAACTTTCATGAGTTTGGATGGACATTGGATTTTGGGAAGACCAGACTTCTTACTTTTTTTCCTTTTTTTTTCCTCCATTGAAGCTTACGTTTTCTGATGAAACAGAACGGTTACAGGGGCAGGAAGGACACAGAGTTACATGTTCATATTCTGTTTTCTCATCATGTCTTTATTAACAGATAGAGCTGTGCTACTGTAAATTTTAGTTTCTCAGCATTGCTAGTGTCCAGATATTCAGTGGACCTGGATAAACTAAAAAAGCAGGCACAGCACATTATCATGTAATGTGAATAGCACATAGAACAGGCCAAGGGAAAGATGAAATCTGCTGGAGTGGACTGAGTGGGTGAAGGGCAGATGATAATGCCTCTCTCATGTTGCTGCTCCTGAGTTTCCAGGCACTTTTACTTGGTTGTCATTCACTGGTCTAAAGTCTTGGCATGGATCATGCTGTGGCTACTTTTTCTGAGTAATGAGAACATACAAGCCTTTTCATCTGCCTTAAATATCCCTGAGATGGAATTTTCTTTGTCAATGCAACTTTACTCCTGCTTGTCCTTAAACAGCTGCCTAGGTTTTCTATGTGATGTTTTTGAGTATACTGTAAGAAGGTGAAGTCTTTTGTTATTATTACATTAGCAGCATGCCACTATTTTGTCTGACAGATACTTTTCATGACAAAATTATGATCAACATTTGAAAAAAAAAGGGAGAGAAAAGACTCCAATTTCAGAAATCTAAATATTATTTTGGAAGTCTAACTATAATTCTCACTCCCCTTCACATGGGCTATATTAAGTCTGAGTTTGCATAGAAAGTCTTCTAAAGTAAGATGCTATAAATGTTTAGTTTTGCAAATATTTTCATTGGAGTAGCTCACCTGTTGTATTTGTCTTGTAAATGACATAAGTACAGTCAGAAAACCTTTTAAATGGACACATGTTAAACTGACCTGTAAATATTTGCATCCTGGGGCACCAGTACCCTGCAGAACTGGAAGGATCAGTTTCAAATATTTTAACTACTGGGCATCTGGGCATCTGATCCAGAACTTGGTAATTATTTCAGCCTTGGAAGTATAATACAAATACTTCCAAATTGGGCTCTTTAAAAAACTTTTCCACAGTTTGATGCAGCCAACACAGAGCCAGCTAGTAATGGCAGTAATAGTTGTATTCCACTAAAATGAAAAGAGACAGCAATACCATGGTGGTGCTTCTGTTTCTTAGGGCAGCTGAATGAATACCTGTTAGTTATACTAATAATTAGTTTAAAAAAATGTTTCATTTCTAAGTAATGGTTACAAAATTCAAAATCAGTTTCCTTCACAGCTGACATCAAATTATATTATACACAGGACAATAATTTTTAAAACCAGTGAGGGAGATTTTGGGTGGTTTTGAGTGTGGGGCATTATACTGTAAAATTAAAGTGGCTTTTTCAGATTGAGTTCTCTTTTGGAGAAACCAGGTTTTAGAAATGAACTGCAAAGAAACAGGAAATAGATTCATGAGACCATTAGAAAGGTAGATACTTGAATCTGTGTCACTAAGTCTACATTAGCTTGATCCACTGTCAATTTATGTGTTACATTTCTGTGGGACTTTCACCTTTCTGTTGGGAACAATAGAGGTCACGCACACAGCTGTGTGGATCTGGAGATCCTGAGGCAAATGGCCGAATCATTTCTACAACAGCTCAGTTCATCCTGACTCTAAACTATTTGGCTGCTATCACAGGATTGACAGCTTTATGAGAGGCAAATTCAAGTACACTTTTATGAGGGAATTAATACATTTTTGTATGCCCTGTTAGAGAGTACAGAAAATGCTTCCTGTGTTACTTTAGACTTTGAACTTGTATATACAAGAAGAATTTGAAATAATCACAAAATAAATAAAAGATTATTTATGTGTCAATGGTTAAAATTATTTAAAAATAAACAGCATCCAAAAAAGCAGCATTAAGGCTTCTTTTTTTTTTTAATTTAAAAGATGTTTACAAGTATAATGTACTTTAAGTAAGTACATTTACTTTTAACTGTAAAACAGAATAGAATATTTACTGTTTCTTTGGTTATGAAGTAACAAATACATTGCCATGATTAAGTCCAGCTTTGTTTATTGGGCAATCTTGTAAAAATGTTCAGTTTTTACAGTGTCGCATGAACATTATGAAGATGTTGATGTTCTGACAGTGTAATTAAATCTCCATTGAAACTGGTGACCCTCTGCTTTGAGGTGGAGTTGTCCTACACAGAAGTTTTAGCTGGCATATCACATACATCAAAATGACTTTTCCTTGCTGTCCGTGAGGTACAGCTCCATGGCAGCTGTCTCATAAGCTTTTTTTGGGTTCACCAGATAGTCACATGGTTCCTCACCCTCTTTGCTAATGGAAAATGGATGGTTTGGACCTGCTACCAATTTTTTATTTTAATTTTTTTCTTATTCCAAAACCAACCCTGCAGCCTATGAGGAAGTTGGAGAGAAGTTACCCAATGCAAGAAGAGTAACAGTTCAGCAACAGTAACACTGAGGATCAAGAAAGTAACTTCTTATTTAAACTAGCAACAATAAGGGAAACTATTTAGGAAGGAAGATGTACCACTGTTGATGATAAAATCAGACAGGACAAGCTAGACCAGACATCTGATAATTGTTTAGAGGAGAGAATTACAGTAGGTTGAGGTTTTGGAGAGGAAGAGGGTTGGGTATTTTTGTTTGGGGTTTTTTGTGTGTGTATTTGTCTGTCTTTCCTTTTGCCTCTATTCTTAGCTGGTGACAATCCTGCAAAGAACTTTCCAATTTTCAAAACTTTTCAAGGTGGCTAAAATAGAGTGGCAAACCCTTACTTTGCTTACAAACCTATTTTCTTAATAAGAGGAGAATATTCAGAGAGCTATTACAAAGTCTCAACTCTTAGTGCTCTATCATAACACCTTCAATAACTATTTTTGATTTTTGTTTTCAATTAAACCTTAACCTCAAAAATCACATTTGGATTTTATATTTGTGGTGTCGGTTTTATATACCTTTTCTTTTGCAAAGTTACTGCATTACCAAAATATTAAATTCCTCCTAATTAGAACAAGGGCTGGAATGAGTAATATTTAATTCTACTATAAAAGAGAAAAAAACACTTGGAAGGCAAGTACTTCTTTGAAGTGAAGGCCATTTGCATTTCTGAAACTGGATCAAATTAACATTAGTTGCCTCTGAAATATTATAGTAGGGTTTCAAATAATTTTCTACTTACATTTCTTTTTTTTATAAAAAAGTCTTTTTTTAGTATGTATTTAAATTGATGCATACATTTATGGACTGAATGAGAATAGAACTCAGACTGATTCTTCCAATGACTCAGACAGTAAGAAATACAACAGGCAGGTAGAGTTGATTAATATTTCTTTATCTGATGGCAAACTATTGTGCATCACTAGTTTTTCCCCAGCTAATACAAACATTCTTATATTTTAAAGGATTCAGTAAGAATCACAGTGAAAGTATTGCTAAAGGTTTAAGAACAGGAAATTGGCCATAATCATCCTCATTCTGATTCCTCATTGGAAGTATTTTTATTGAACAGAGTGGAATCTTACAACAGCTTTATCTGTACATGATGATGATATATTTAGATACCCCAGTTTCCCAAGGAAACCACTTAATTTTGCATAACTCCCTTGAATGAAAGTTTGCTTAAGCTGAAATAACCCTGCAGGTAAAACTTCAGGTTAAACAGTATTTTCAAAGTTTTTTTCAAAATTACCATTTCTTCAGAAACAACTTTAAAGGCTTGTAAAAAGGCAGGAATGATTGATGATTAAAAAATACACAAATCCTCTAAGCCATGCTGTTACAACACAGAAATAAGAAATGCCTCTTAGAGCTTATACAAGTGATTCAACTTAATTTGTTACAGTCCTGGCACTTAGGCTAGGAGGCATCAAGTTTTTGCTATTAGCTACAACTTGAGCTAGTAACTAATGTGTGTACCCATGTACAATGAAAGAAGCTCACTTTGCCCCATACAGTTGGCAAAGTTAAGGCAGAATTCATGAAGACAGGCATCAGTCCCAAAACAGTACATAATCCTTAGAAAAATGGATTTGTCTTAGTACATTTCTGTCTACTAATATCAATAGAGACTGCCTTTTCTTGGAGCCAGTTTGTATCACCTTTGTCCATGTTCCAACAAAGCATTTGGGGATAATGCACTTTTTAAGCTGAATGTGTCTCCACTTGATGAGTGTCGGGAAGTTGCTTTTCCACCTATCAACAAAGTCTCTGCTTCTTTTATTTCCATAGCTCTCTTGTAAAGTTCAGCTGCCTTCTCAAAGTCTCCCCTTTCATAGCTTTGGAAAAGAGCAAAACAAAGTTGTAACAAGCAAGCAAAACAAGTTTATCTATTTATTTAAATTGAAATATACACCATACTATCAAAATAATGTACTTAAAAGTCCCTACTTTCCTAGAAAGTACACAAGCCCAGATGTTTTGTTTCATGCAGTAATTTGCATTTATAACGTTGAAGCATATAATCTTACCTTAGCACAGCCAAGTTTTTCAGTGTTTCCCCCACACGAGGATGCATTTGACCAAAGCTGTCTTCATAAATCTTTAGTGCACGTTCATAGAGAGGCAAAGCTTCAATCTGTTTTTTCTTTGGGTAGCAGAAAGTTTCTTTGTTACAGATGTGTATTTCTTTCATACAGATGTATATTACATGGGCTTTTTTTTTTGCCAATATAGTATCAATGCATCCTAGACACAGTATCATGCCTACCATTCACACCAATTATCTCTTGCCTGCATTTTCATTGCCAAATACGCTTTCAATACTTAAAATGGAACCCAAGCATTTGCAAAAACTATAAGGAATTTCCCTTTTCAATACAAACAAGTTTCTTTTGTTTAATTTAAGTATAGGTCACTAAAAAGCCTAAGACAGGAAAAATAAGTGTTAGGCATGAAAAACTTACCATCTGACAGTAAAGGACAGCCAGGTTTACCAGAGCAGTTGCTACACTTGGGTGTTTTGGGCCAAATGACTTCTGTCGAATTTCAACTGCTAGCTCATACAGAGGAACAGCCTTGTCAAGTTTTCCCTAGAAACAACAGGGAAAAAAATGATTCATTTTTCTGGTATCAAGATGGTAACAGGAAAAACTATTTTAAACAAAAGCCTTGGAGAAGATCTAATTGTTTCTAGAATAAGGGGATAAACTTTGCTAAGTAATACATATATTCTGCATAGATTATTTATCCTGACTATTTATTAGAACCTAATTTTCCAAAATACTGGGCATATTCAACTTCCAGTTAATGTGTTTCTCAGCTAGGTCTATTTCTTCCTTTCTTATTTTTTTTTTTCCCCCATGAGTGTCTCATTAAGAAGGCTGTAAAAAGAATTTTAAGTTGTATTTTTTATCAAAATAATTGTCTCTGCCGACTTTTAATTTGCGCTCAATCAAACTAGCAAAGAGGTTTTTGATGCAAATATTGAGTGGCTTTGCAGCTTCCAGCAGCATTAAAATTAGAAGCTGAAGTGAGCAGAAAATAATATGACCCAAAACCATTTAATGCAGACAATAGCAGGGAAGAATTTCACAAAAACATGAGCAAATTTGATCTAAGAGATTATCTTTAAGGTCTCTTTTCTCTTTGAAAAATAGTAAAATGTGAAAATATAAAATAAATAAAATTCTTATAGCCCACTGAACTTAATCTTGGTTCAACTGCTGGAAACAATATATCACTATTAAACTAATAATACCTAACAGTTAGAACAACACCTAAAAACACAGATATTCATAGCACATTTTGAAGTTATGAAATGCAGAAGTTAATTTTACTTTTGTTAATTTTACTCCTCATAGTGCATTTTGCACACCAGTAATGCTCATCTTTCACTGAGTCAACAGAAGCTGAAGGTGGTTCAGTCAGACAGTTAATTTGTAAACTGCTATCTCCCTCATAATTCTAAAAGTTTCCCTTAAACTGACTGTAAAGTTCAAGGTCATTGTGTAAAAAGAACTATTCCTACCCCCTAAAACATGATTTTTTCCATTAAGACAAAGACATTACAGTTAATTTAAGTGATCAGAAGAGGTAACAGGTGCGTGCTTACCATCTTTTTGTACAGCACTGCTAGGTGTTTCACAGTGTAAGCCAAAGAGGGATGATCTGGAGCTAAGGCTCTCCTCCTGATGTCCAAAGCTTTCTCATAGAGCTCCTCAGCCTTGTCATAGTGCTTCTTCTCATTATACAGGGCTGCCAGGTTGTTCAGGGACTGCGCACAGTCTGGGTGGTCAGATCCCAGGACTCGCTCCCGCATTTCCAAGGAGCGCTTCAGGAAAAGCTCTGCTGTCCTACACAACATATTTGTTCATCAATATTTTAAAGCTGGTAACATCGGTACAGGCTGAAGTGCCTGTTTGAAACAACAAACTCAACCTTGGAAACTCAAAGTAGAATCTGTTCAGAACTGACAAAGTAGAAAAGACACTGAAGCAAAGAGCATGTTTTATCTCACTACAGTCAGGTGCTACTATTTCAGCTTTCATTTCAGCTTTACAGCAGCTCCTCTATCAAAACTACAGGTGATACCCCCATAAGACTGATAACATCCATTACTACTAGGCAGCTTCTTATCATGATATCCACACAAACCCTGCCATACTATTCTCAAAAGGTCAGCTTAGTAAATCGGGAAAATCTATTTTACGTTAGAGGAAAAAAAAGACCATTTATACACAGAACTGTAGGTACAATTCTGAAGCTCTTAGACAAGTGTCAAAAGGTGTTCACTCTATGCAAGGCTGGAGGATCATGTGTGGCAAATAATTACTCATTAAGTGACATACCCTTCTGCCACTGATTTCATCTTAACTACATGAAGTCTTGGACTTGCTGGTTCAGAGCAGGGATATATATTTTTAGAAATTCCTTAAAACTGTACTAGAAAGTTTATACCTTTTCTCACCTATGCAGTAGCAGAGATACAGCTACTCTTGAAGTAGGTTGCATTTAACAGGAACTACATATGAATAACAGAATATTAAACAATCTTGTATGAGATTAGATAAAATATTACTCCTCTATAATCAGTCATTTCATGAGGGTAAACTGATGAAAACTCCCCATGTCCAACAACGCCCCATGTCCAAAATCAATTTTTCACTGCAGAGATCATGAATCTGTATGTAGATCCTAAATAATTATATACTTCTGTAATTATCCAAAAGCTATCCAAAAGGGGCCTTAAAACATCAGGTACAGGAAGAACTGGAAGTAAAAATACTTCCAGAACTCACTCTGTACTTTTTTGCTGGGCACTTCTGTTCTTCTCTGAAAAGACTCAGTTCACTAGAATGGGATTTAGGTGACTTTACAACTCCCTCATAACACATAGCTTAGATTCTTCTGTCAGCTAAAGAAGTTGATGTGAAGAGTGGTTGAACATACAATCAGAACTATCTTGCACCTTTTATTACCCTTCTTCAACACCCTTGTTTATCTCTGACTGCTTTTAGAACACCTTCATGCTGTTCTGGCCTTTCTGGCTTTTAGCAGGACGTCAGGGTAAAAGCTGATGGATCACAAGCACAACGAATATTTAGGACATGACTTGTAATACTGTCATAGAAAAACAACAATCCTGCTGGTAAAAGATGAACACTGCAAAGGAGAGTCACAAAATAGTGGAGATGAGCAGAGAAGGCAGAAGTTTGAGAGAAAACTGGAATTTACAACAAAGGCTAATTAACTGTGGGACATCAATTCTGAATGCAGGAAGTGCACTAACTTGGTAAATACCCACATGCCAACAGCACCAAGTAGAAAATAAGAGTGAATTTCACAGTGAACAAAAACCAGTAGTATGAACAAGGGATAAGTATTTGATTACTTGTCTGCATTTAGTGCTACATCTCACTGCTCACCGCCTCCATTCAGACATCTGAGAACTCTCAGTGGATGTGTCACAATCAGTACAACTTACTCAAGATTATTCTGCAGGTAATAGAGAACTCCAAGCTCATTCAGGGTTCGAGCATTATCTGATGTATCCTTGCCTAACGTGAGCTCTTCCAATTGCAGGGCTCTTTGACGCAGGAGAGCAAAGCCACACTACAGCAAAAAGAAGGAAATGTAAGCCAGTAACCAGTACCTTTGAAGTTTAACACTAAAGACAGAAAACCAAAAGACTTAAGTTTGGTGCCAAAGTAGCACAATAATCCTCCTTAAGTTCTATTCTTAAGCTACATGGCAAATGCTTTCTTAAAATATATCAGCAAATTTCACCAAAAAAGTGAAATTTTGGTGAAAATTTCCTGGCAATACAAGTTAATTGTGCAGTCACACCTCTCTCCCTGTATCAGACATGCTAATTTGCTTAAACTCCACAGTTCAAATAACCAGTTCAGATCAAATTCTTAGGTTTAGAACCTCAAAATTTAAAATCAATTTAACCTCCAATCCTAAACACCACATACAAACACATATAAAATATTACTCCAGGCTTCACATCAATCTGTTTAAAATTAAGTTAATACTTAAAAACAAAATAAAGTAAAACAAAATAAAGTAAAAACAAAATAAAGTAAAAAGTGCACTCTGCTTATTTTTGATCTTTGCAGTCTTGATAAAAATAATTTTGCAGAAGAACTCAATATAGAAATAGATCAAATCTTCATGAACCAAATTAATTCTTATTTAATCACTATGGAAATAGCAACATGTTTGTGGTTTTTTACTACTTTCATTAGAGCTACAACTTGAACTCTGGAGTTATTAGCTGGACTCTTACAGTACAGGCATTACATGATAAACTCTTAGCTCAAAAATGACAACAGAAACCCTGTAGCTGAAAAACAACACAGGAGAAGAAAACAGGGAAAACTCTGTATGTCACCTAATACTTTTACTGGGATTTTCCACCGCAGTAAGCACTGCATTCACTTGTAGGACAAATGCCTCAACTACTCTGGAGATCACCTTTTTCCATTGTGACTTTGACACACAATTGCATCGGCTGTAATTCTGCACATCTGAAATGTACATATCCACTTGTTTCTTTTCCACTACTTTCAACTCCATTCCAGTTGTACTGATACATCTTCACTTCCAGCAGAGTTAAAACTACAGTTACCAAAGCTGCTACTAAGGTACTTCACTACATATGCCCACAATTATCAAAAACCCTGGTGCACTGTCAGCTCTGAGGACACAATTTATCATCTGTTTAGCACAACTGCAACATCCCTTGTACACCTTTTTAAATATCAAGCACTGCCTTACCAGACTGCCTTTCTGCTTTGCTGCTTTTTGGCGTATTTTGAAGGACTTTTTCCTCAGTTGCTCAGCTTGTTCATATCTGAAAGCAGTTATTTGGATGTGAGAAGAATATCAAATGTAATGTCAATAAGCATCCTGGAAAGATTCTAAGTTACTTAAGCATACAGATTTGAAAATTCAAGATTCTTGAGAATAAATGCACTTTTTTTCAAATACAAAATTTACAAAATTATTAGGGACAGACAATGTTTCTCCTTTATCTCTACAAGTTTTTTGATAAACTAAACACAAAAGTTGGCCCCTCCTATGTGACCGGCTACAAAAATAGAGAGGGGATGCTCATGGTTGCATTTGAACATATTAAACTTGAAAAGAAAAAAAAACAGAAAAATTCTGGCTTCAGGATGAAAACTTTTGCTGTTAATTTTTTCCTGTACTATCTCCACATAAAACAAAACCAGCAGTGTAATTAAGCTTACTTGTTCTGCTTTTGGTACAAGGTTGCAAGTGCATCAAGTTCACGGGCCACCTGAGGGTGTTCAGCTCCATAGGCATTTTCAGAGATTTCCAATGCCTGTTTATACAGCTGCTCAGCATTTCCAAACTTCTTCCACTGAACATACACTCCTGCCAGCTGGTGGAGTGACTGTGCCACCCTGGGGTGGTCTGGATCCAGCGCCGTCTCTCGAATCTCCAGAGAGCGCTGCAGAGGAGCTACAGCCTGTAATAGCCAAGGCCAGAGCATGAGGGGAGCAGGCAGCATCCTCTATGCTGCAATAACTGAACTACTGCCTTAGAAAGCACACACTGAGCTCTGCTTCATTTGCCTTTTTGCTGTTACAACAATCTCTAAATGTACTTACCTGACTGAGAAGACCTAGGTCCTTAAGAAACCGTCCCAGGGTCTCATAAAGATCAGCCAGGCAGATCATACTTTCCTCTCCCTCACTGCTTTTTTCATATTCTTTCAGAGAGTCGAAATACTCAGCTGCCATAGAGCTCTTATCTTTCCCAACCAGCTGCCAGTAACTCAGCAATTCTGCAAAATGTCCCCTGTTTTAACAAGGAAAAGAATCTTATCTCTGATACCCCTCTATTCAGACCAATGCTAGGAAAAAAGGTCTACATGCACAAATGTTGTTGTTATGCTACAGCATCTACAGAGACAATCCATGAAGAATAACACTATTCAACAGCAATATTTATTCCTTTACCAGCCCCAGGGTGTAACAGAATGAAAAAAAAAACATTATTTATATGGAAACAGCATTTAGCACTTCAGCCTCTACTATTACTTCAGCTCCACTATTTATTTGAATCTGTCACTTTCTGATTTATATTGAAAAAAAAAAAAGAAATGTTTATAATGGCCAAAGCAGTTTCTACCTTTGTACCTTTTGTAAAGGTTTTGGGATACAAAGAGATTCAAAAGACACTTGTGTAGCTTTTGCTTATCTCCCTGCTGTTGGAAGAGCCAGGGAAGTTCATCTGCACTTCTCCAAGTCACTCGGTCTTGACTATTGAAAGAAAAACAAATGAAAATTAAAATTCCAACAGGCCTAACATCTTGTCAATTTGCTGTGAAAACTAGGCAAGCATACAATTTCCACACCTGAATATCAGAACCTATTACTGTAAGACCTGTGTACTCCATTTTCTTATATGTTCATTTTAATTTCACTTCAGAAGGCACTGGAACCCCCAGGCACTCCACAGAAAGCTACTTCTCCATCCCATATGGACTAATCTGTGCCTGCCAGCAGGACTGCAGCCCTGCAGGAGCCCACGGTCCCTTTGTGCCTCCTTTGTCTGGCACACTGTGGCCCTCTTGGCTTCCTGCTATGCAACAATAGATGCTTGGAGGAGCAATAAACAGCAGCCCACAGCTGGGACTCAGGTAACACAGGATGTAAATGCAAATCAGTTTTCAAACTGGATATGAACTTGCAGATGTTCAGCTGTTCTACCAGATCTCCTCTTATCTATGTACTAATTGCTTGCTGAAGACAGTGGTTTTCTGCTTCAAGTCCCAAACAAACTCAAATTTCCTAGCATTTACTGGGAGTTAAAAATCCATAGGGGGTTGGAAACCACAAAATAACTGATAAGGTATTAATTCATGCCCTACATTTCCCCATGATCACTTCATCATCATACACCCATTCCCTTTCACAGACCTCATTCTTTTCCAAGACTAAAAGCTATCAATAAGTAAACTTTTAAACTGACAATTTTGCATAGTTATTTTGCCATAATAATTTACTAAACTCAAAGAAAATATATGAAGAAACCAAAATATCTGTGAGGTATGAAATCTGCAATTTACCACTTCTTGAAGAATTCTGACCTACCTTAACTGCATGGTGAAATAGTCCACTAGTCTTTGTCTATAGGCAGAAATAACATTTTCACCTGCTTCCATATACTCTAGTTTTACCATCTCCCATGCCTGAAAGAGAGTATAAGTAAAAGAAAGTGAATGCACTTAATTTGTTTAAGTGCTGATGATAAACAGGGTGATGAAACATATCTCATGCTGTAGAACTAAAAATCTTTCAATGACAAAAGCACTACAAACAGTCTTACATTAGACCACAGCTCTGGTGTGGTTATTCAAGCAATATTCCTTTCTCCTTCAATTATTGTTTTTTTTGGGAAGCTAATGTTTTCTAGGATGCATGGAGTTAACAATTAATAGATTAGAAATTTACAAAAGGTTTGAAAGGCCAGATTTTCAGCAATACTGGTTTATCATAGCTCTGGTAGTTTTTAAGATGTTTCTATAGCTGACCAGATGTTAAGGAGAATGGATGAGCAAACATACATTTCAAGGCCTAAGTACCTAACAACAGAACTTATCTAAAAAAACAGGGCTTGGAGTCAAGTGTTGGAGCTTCACTTGCACATGTTTAGCATTACAAACTTTACCTGGAGGTGCTGGAACTTCAGCAAACCACAGCCATATGTCAGCAGACACATTTTGTGCAGGCTATGAAGGAGCGAGGCCAGCACTGCAGAAGTCAGCTCAGGATAAAGCTCCATCAGCTCTGATTCACTCACCCCATTGTGACTGACACCAATGACACACAGTATCTGCATGAAGCAGTAAACAAGATTTCATACAGTTAGCAATATTTCCTGTAGAGCTTAGTTACACTGAAATATCAAGAAAACGACTGTTTATCACTGAGATAATTTTATAGCCAAAACCCTGCCTATACACACCCTTTCCCTCTACACAAAGAAGAGACTTCAGTGTTAATAGTTTAATATTCTAATAGATAAAGAACCAAATGGGACACTCTGGGACAAAAAAATGGCTCCTCAGACTTTCCTCTATCACACTGGGAGAGAGTAACTCCATTATCATGAGGAACTTTCATCTAAGTAAAATATGCTGAGGGTCTTTATGCAGCCAGAACCAAAAAAGTAGCAAGTAAGAGTATTGTGTCCTAATTAAAAAAAATGTTTTGCACAAGAGGGAAATTCTGCAAAGGTAGGAAGAGGAGTCAGAAATGTAATAAGCAATGTCTGTATTCACAAGCCACCATGTTTTGATTGCATTTACTATGCTCATTGTAATTCATCACTAGATCATGGTAGTAATCAGCAAGGAAGTGCTAATTCTGTATCACATCATAGTGAAAAAATCCTGCTTTATTCTGTGAGACAACAGCTCACTTGATATTTAACACAAAGCAGTCATACATTCTATAGTTATGCAACAGATGTAATCACATTAATTAAATTGTCCCTTCTATACTAATAATATACAATAATCTCTGAATCATACATATGAACTAAGATAAATTTGTATTTACTTTTAAGTTAAGAAAAGATCTTTACAGGGCTATTCATTACCCATAGAAACCATGATGCATTCTCTGCTTACCTCTCTCAAAAGATCTTTCTCTTTATCACTCTGCAATGATTCCTGAATTGATCTCAGAACAAGCCTGTACAGTGACACCGTGTCTTGACACTGGCAACACTGCTGAAGAATCTCATCAATATTTCCTGTATTTCCAACACTGAGCAGAAGGACAAAAAGGGTAAAGTTTAACATATTAAAATTGGCTGAGTTAGATTGACTTGAAACTACAGAAGAGCTCTATCTCAAATATTCTCTGGATTCCTACAGGGTTCAAAAGGTGCACAGCACCCGGCGAGATTTAAACACAGAAGAGGTGAGTTCTTGCAAGCCAATTTCTGTCATATGTCTAATTTTCTAAATAGCTGCAACAGTTTTATTAAAAAACCTAGGATGCAGTGTTCTTTTCTTCAGCAGGAGTACAAGAAAGAACATCAGGATGGATAGAGATAAAACCACATGCTGCTATTTCATTTAATGAATTTACAAAGCAAGCTTTCAGGAGAAATTAAGTCTTCTAGAACACAAAACGTGAACAAAAATAATGAAATCAGTCACCCGGAGTAAATTACCAATTAGTGTATCATCTTCTGGGAGTCTCTTAACTAAAAATGCATCTTTCTCAACAAGATGAAGTCTAGGTTAATAAGAAGCCAATGCACTTATTAGGTATTCTCTTGCACAACAGGGAAGATTAATTTTCTCCACAGCAGGAATTACAAGGCTAAGGAGCATATGCAGGAAGTTAAACTAAGCAGCTGTTGAACTTCCTTGTAGCGTTAAAAATCTATGGGGCAAACTCTGTGGTACATCAGTACATACAACACACCTGAATTTAACTGTTTAACAACACAATACCAACATTCTCCAAGTACCTTTAAAAACCACTGAAGCAACTGATACACACATAAAGAAGAACAAATTAAGATAAAATAGAAATAGAAGAGCTGAAAACAAATACATATAACTACTTGGATTCACTTAGTATCAAGCTGGTGACTTCATAATCTTTGATTTCTGTTCCTGTTCTATTCAATCACTGAAGAGCAAAACTTCTCCATCATTTTTTCTTAACAGGATTCATTCTGTGTTAAATGAAAGCATTTCAAAAGGCTAACCTACTTGAAGCCTTCTAATCTAGTGATGACCATAGTAATTTCCAAAACACCTCAACTTACCAAGCAATGGTTTTGCCCAAGAGAGTAACATACAAAGCATTGCAAGTCGTGGCAGAACGACAGTGTCTCTCAAGCTTCTTCTCCTACAACATTTTAAATAATTATCTGTGAACTGAGATGAAACTAACTATACAAATAAAACACTCACTGTTTGAGAAGAAAACAAAAGTTCTAGATATTCTTTTATCTGCAACTTCTGAAGATTATACCATAGTAAGTAGTACACAAAATACTGCACACATTTCCAGCTATAGGAGCATATGAGTGAAAGTCTCTGAATTTAAGATGAAGAGTTAGGGTCTAACATTATATCTCAACATGAAGGTTACCTTACAGAATAAGTCTCAAAGGCAAAGGTAAAATACTGACTTTCCCAATCTCTCAGTGATTGTTACAGTATTATGCAAAAAGAATTCATTAAAACATAATTAAACCTTCTGGTGTTCTAAAATAAAATATCACATTTACAGCAGTATGTGCAACTGCACAGTTTTTCTGTTAAAAAGTCGTGTTGTTCCATCTGTGTTTCAGGGCTATGAGCCATGGGGTGAAAATACTCAAACTTCATGCTATCTTGAACAATCGTATTTAGTTAGTTAAATATAATGTTTTACTCTGGCAGCTGGGCTTATTTAATCTTTCCGTGTTTTCATTAAAAGTTATACTAGAGTAGGGTATTTTAGAAAAACTGCAACAGACATACCTGTTCTTTAGTCAATTTAACATTTGCAGAGTTACATTCTGCACTAATGAGAGATTTAACATCTTTGGAATTCAGTGGATCAAGATGAAGAGTGGGCCATAACCTTTGGTAAGAGAGAACAAAGTCATATTTGAACCTTATTAGATAGCACAAAAAAGTAAAAAAAGACATCAGAGTTCCAGGGCTTTTTAAAGATTTATATCAAAGCAGTAATTGAAGCTGTTCCCTTCTACTATGAAATTCATCTGAAGTAGAATTTACACTTTTAGCCTTATCCTGAATCTACATCATGCTATTGCAGTTCTTGATGTGCATCTGACTGCATTTAGTATAATTTTTCATACAGTTATGTGGATAGATCCATCACAGTAAAAAAAAAAAATCTGGTTTTTCAACAGCTAAAATCTGTCATTGCAGCTAAAATAGAGAAGCTTTCATTTTCCTCATAGATTGCAAAATCTTATCCTATTAAATCTTCACATCTTGACAAATCTATCTGCTCTTCAATGAGTAACTGCAATTTGAAATAATAATTCTAAGCCAGGATACTTTGACACATCACAGAAATATAACATACCTCCACGCCTGCGGACAGGTTTCTACATTCACTGATACAATCACTCTCACGTTCACTGGCAGTGGATCTATCAACCACTTCATATGCTTCTCAGCTTGCTTAAAAGCAAATTTTCATTTGTTAACACAGAGGTTGTTCAAAACAATGCCAGAAGTTGCTATGTTTCATTAACTGTGCAATCCAATGAAAGGAGTCTTAAATTCTCCAGTGTCCCTTAAAATCTTCCATGATCTGATCCTCTAGGCAATACTAAATGACCCACTTATACATATCAGCATAACTGTACACTAAATAAAGCAGATAGAATGCTATTGTTGAAATGTTCACCTCATAAAAATGAGGCTATTTACATGCCCAATAAGTCAGTTCACAGCCTTGAATCTTTGGATAAGTAATGTAACCAGACTGCTCAAAAACAAAGGTTTAAAGATAAAATTTAGAAGAAAAATACCAAAACAACCCTAAAAAAATTATCTACAAAAATAACTCAACTGTTCTTTTTACAAAACTATTTTCTCTATGTTCTCTCCAGAGCAAAGCAAACACTAATATTTTTTTTACATAGCTATGACTGAACCTATTATAATAGTCAAGACTCCTGTTAGACTGAGAAATGGCAAAGATATTGAAAACATACCTGTATTTGGTCAATAGAGTCAATAATTATAATAATGCTGCCTTGATGGCGTGCAGAAAGTTTTTCCAGCCAACGGGGAAACTCTTCCAGAAGTTTAGCTGGATCGAAAGTCAGAGGTGACACTAACCAAGAGTGTTGCATAAGCTGCAGAATTATAAACATGTACACGAAATTATACTTTAAAAATCAGCTAGGATAGTTGAAAGAAGTCTTAGAATACCCAAAAGGGGGAAAAAAAGCAGTTCTCTCCCCATAACTAACCTCCCCCCCAAAAAAACTCTATGTGATTTGGGGGCAATTTTTCTAGTCAAGTTTACACAGAATTATTTTCTTCTAGTTTATGTAGAAAGATGGCATATGCAGAACAAAGAATATTTCTTGAAACCAGTGTGTAAATTCTAGAGAGATAACCTTTACACAACAGACAAGAAATATGAAGATTTAAAGGACTTGAAGTTGCACAGATTAAACAGGCAAACATCTAATACATGAGAAAACTGCATGGATAGCAGAACTGAATTCATTTTTCTACAGGTTTTAGCACTGTGAGGCCCTAGTGCCACTCTTGTGATGGAAAAAGTAAGTTCAGACCCTGGCACAAAAATGATCCTTCTTATTCCCCATATACTCAGCACACAATTAAAAATAAACCAATATAGGAGAAAGCCCAATCTAGGAACAAGATGGTGCCAAGTGGCCAATACAGCCTCAGGTTTCTAAGCACACAGACACAAGACATACGACCTGCCTCTCTCAATGACCAGATGGCAGGGAATTTTGGAAAGAGTATGATTATATGGTTTTGTAAGTCATCGATATAGGTCACTGAAAACATAACTGCTAATGCTGATCTATTATGAATATCCCAGAGATGCTATTTAGTTGAGCTACATTAAGTGTACAGGATCAGATTCCCCTCATTCTATAATGCCTTACATTTTATAGACTCACAGAAGAGTATGGATTAGAAGAAGCTTGAAAAGTCCACCTAGTCAAATTCCCTGCAATGAGCAGAGGCATCTTCAACCAGACCAGGTTTCCCAGAGCCCAGACTGATCTGAACCTGAATATTTTTCCACTACATTTATATTACTTTTCACTGATGCTGAAAAATTTGCAGAAAATGTTATCTTTGCACACACAAACACACACAAAGACACACAAAGAAAGATGCAATTCAGGGCATGTATTTAGCATTACCTTCAGAGTAAGGCGCTTAATTATCAATGCAGATTCTGAACTGGTAGACATGGGCCTTCCAACAAAGTGGTAAAGAATGAGAGTGTTTGGTGAATGCTTCTGCTGTAATTGAATCCTAATGAAAGAAGAGAAGAAAAAATAAGACTCACAGACTGTAATTTTGCAAATAGATCTCCAACAAAAAGCATCATTTTTGCTAAAGTAGATAGAGTATCTTAGCTACACATGTTCCATGTTTATCTTACAAAACAGGATAGACATTTCCTGAGGAATAATTGAACTTCTAATGCCAGATTCCATTTTTGCTCTCACCATTACTGATAGCAAGTAGCAAGTGTCCTTCCTGGCACTGAATAGTCATGTGCCACTAAGCTTTTAAAAAGCAAAGACACCATCAATTTATTTTTATGACAGCAAATTTTGTCATAGCATACAAGTGACCATAAAATTCTATGGTCTATGATAAATTATGAGGATTCTTTCTTTATTTCAGATTCTTCTTGTGTATTACAGAAGGGCAATGCTATTAAGCTATCAAAACCACATTGTAATGCTGTGCAAAGACAGATGTGTAAGTGATGTCTTATCATAAGGTGTTGCAGCTGGTGTCAGGGAGCTGTTAAAAGGCAGTCCAGATGAAATTAGCAACTCAAATAACACAAATCATTCCAGCATGCTTAAATAACATCAGCACTTTGTAAATGCTCCCATTTTACCTCTTATTACTGACACAATGCTTGAAATGTAATGGAAACTTTTTTCTTAAATTTCATTCATATAAAGAAAAATACATTTAAACTACCATTTTGACAGAAGGAGAGATTTCCCAGAGCCTGGTCCTCCTGATACAAGCAGTGGTGGAATTGGTGCTGGTGCTGCTACTAGGTCATTCAGACGTTCAAAATACTATAAAAAAGAAGCAATCATTATAAATAGTCCAGTGTTTAAGGAAGAAATATTGCCTGGTATTGTAAACCATTTCAATTCAAAATGCATGTACCAGTTTATCAAGGTAAAGGAGCAACTACTGAAATGCAATATAATACAAGTGTAAACAGATGTTGCAAGGAAACACTTAAACCACAGAATTTATTCTCTCTTTTTAAAAAAGTGTATAATTAATTAACACTTTATTCAAAACTCTATTTAAAATGTAATCTACAGTGTTAATAAACTGAATTAGTGTTATTATAGTAAAGCAACAGTGTTCTGGTTTTGTTCAGGCTTCCTTGCCCTCCCTTTCCCCAAACTACTCCACTATACTGGATATGGTTGCCAGGAAAAAGCTGGCATCTGCCATGAATGACTATTTTGAGCATACAAAAGAAGTCATTCTTACAGCATATTAATGTCCAAAAATATTGCAGCAGATGACAAAAATGGACCAAAGCAAAACACCTTTCACCTGCATGGGAGAAATATGTCTTCAAAGTAAAAGGTGTATTTAGATATACATTGATATTTTTTCTTTAATGTTCTGTTATTCGATTGCTCTAGAACGTACTAAAGATGGTACAATCCTCCAAACCATTATCAATATAGGAATGGTGAAGTAAAAGAATATATTGTGCTAGTAAAATAAGGGTACTAAGAATTTAAATGCATGCTTTTGTTACATTGCCAAAATAAACTACTACACCACACTATGTGATAACTTTAACATTTATCCTCCTACATTCATATCTTCCCAACATGTAACTATTCCTGATACTCACAACTTGCAAAGTATAAAAAAATTATTTCCAGTAATGAGTAAGTACTGAGGTATTCAGCAGCTTTCCCTATAAAGTTTCCTTTATTCTTTTACAGCTGTATGATGAGATGAAATATTTTCATTAACTATCTCCAAAAGACCTAACTCCAGGTGTCAAGAAAGAGATTGGATTTCCTCGGGGAAAAATAAAAGAGAAATAAAAAAATAGAAGAAGAAAAAATAGACAGAGTGTTTCCTATTGATGACCAACATCTAAGAGGATGCTCTGCTTCTGGCACGCTGTTTTAGTGCTTTTCTCCAGTGCAGGCACAACTACTTCTTCATCAATGTCATTCAACAACACACCAACTGGCATCTCTCCCAGAAAAGAAATATGCCATCTATATCAGACATATGGCTTCTTCAAGCACAGGGAGTGATAGCCTTAAGGATGGTCTCAGACACAGCTTCTGTAGAAATGCATCTTGCCTAACAAGGGATAAAAGTGAGTGATTACTTTCTCTTCATCCATATACCTTTACAATGTACTCACTTTCTCAAATCCCAGCTCACATGTTGAATTAGAGGCCTGCTGAAAAGCTTCCATCTGTTCTTGTTCATCGTGTGCATCCCACAATACATCACCAAAAACTTCTTCTTCAGGAGCAGTGGAGTCTTCCTTATTACCCAAATCCTTGCCTTCTAGGTCTGTCATTTCACACCCCAATATATCCTAAGTAAAAAAAAATTGCATGGAGAAAACTGCAACTATATAGCAAGCACATTTGCTGTCAGTCTCAGTATGAGTGTGGCTCTAACACCAATATGCTCATTGCCTTGCAGGGTAGCATAGAACATAAATAAATAAACAATTAAATGAAACTAAGTCAACTCTGAATGCACAGGTCTCAAGACAATGATTTTAAATATCTCACAGTAGAAACCACAAGGAGAGAACATATCTATGATATGGATAAACAGAAATTAAAAACTAAGTTAGGCCCATAAATAGAACCTTTTCCCATGGTCCAGTGCTTCTGTCCATAAAAGCACTGTTCAGTTTGGGGTTTTATTTTCCACTTGCACATTTCCTTGCTTGGCAGATATTAACAATAAAATGGAGCGATACTTTGTATCACACCTAAGTACCACATAGTAATCACACTGATGTAATTCAAAATCATAAATCAACATAGACATAAAAAGCTAAAATGCATGATGTATTTTACCTGTTTAATTATTTTTTCCACACAATTATAGATTTCATATGCTCCTTCCTCCATACCTCCAATATGGTCAATCATCTGAAAAAGTAAATGGAAAAGCATGACAAAACTCTGAATCCAACTGAGAACAATATTTAGGACTTCCAACAAAAACATTCTGGAACACATTTAAATTCCATTCTCTTGCCTTCCTTAGGTAAGATTCACTTTGCTTAAGAACTTTGAGCATCTAGTTTCAGCTATTCTCAACATTTGTCTCTGTAGAGGAAAATAGATCATAACTGATCTATATTTAGGCAGCAGGATTCTCTCTACATGTATACTTCATTCCCTTTCGTGGCTACAGAGGCACTTTGCCATTTGAATGTCTAAATACAGGTAAGAAGTTCTAACCTTAAAGCATAGCCATTTTTTTCAGTGAAAATGCAGTGGCTTTTTTTTCTCCCCTGCTAATAAAAATTTCATAACATTCATAAATTTCAGCTTCATCAATCTGCTCAAAGAATGAGCAGCCAGAGCAACGAGTGCAATACAATTTCTTCTAAAATCTGGGACTATTAGCATGTAGTGTTGTTTATAGCAATTTTTAAATGCCATACCTTTGCTTTGTTCATGCAAGAAATTTGCTCAATTAACTGTTGCACTGAGACTGAACTGACTTTGCCATCCTCCCTTCTGTGGTAAATTAACCGGGGCTTTTCTTCTGGATTTCTCAAGAAGGCTTCTTCACAGTCCTCCAACAAACAACTAGATTGGAAATCAGCATTCTTGTGCTATATTACACTGCTGTAGTAAACAGTTCAATCAACACAAGCTCCGAAGACGAGTTTCACTGCAAAATCTAATTCAAAAGTCATATCTATTTATAGCAAAAAGCAATCAAATACTTCAACAGAGAATTTGAGAAAAATTCTGAAGCAAGATAAAGCTAAAAGAGAGATTTATGCTACTTGTACCAAACGCAGCAAAACCATGTATTAATTTTTATGATTACTGATTTGTAAATGTAAAGCTGTTTTTCCCATCATACAAATACACAGAGTGAAAGGAATTGCCTTGCATGGAAAGAACATGGTTTCACATACAATTAATAAGCATCATAGATATGCTTTGCTATCAGTTATCTGAAGGTTCTGTTCTATTTTTGATCTTTTTAGGAAGAGTCCTTTAGTATTTGTCAGATGTCTTGGGTGACAGTCTTTCAATTTATAGTACTTTAAAAGGCAAATCTGACACCTCCGAATTCAAAAGCACTTTGTATTTATATATGTGAATGATATCCATGGTTATTTATTGCTATTCCACAGAAGGAACTATATTACTTGGGGATGCTGACAATAGCAGACAGGATTGTTCAAATATTATCATCTTTACACAAGCACCACAATTTTCATCAGAGTTATTGTAAGATAAATTCTCTAAATTAATACTTCTGGGATTTTTTTTCCCTGCATATTTTGTTCTTACACATTTGTGCTCCATATACATAAAACTGGGTTATTTGGCAACAGCATATAATGCATAACAGTAACATTCCTAACACAATTTAAAAATATCCTTCCTTTGGTGTATTTTCTTTAGTGAATCATGCTTTTTCTTCTAGAAGGTTAAGAAATTACTCACTGAACAAACAGACCACATTCCATCACTATTTGTCATGAAACATCATGACTTCAGTAAATCAAAACTGTCAAAAGATAGCATAAGGTAACACACAGGAGAGCCATGACATTAGTCTGAAAGACAGCCAAGACCAGGAACTATGTGATAGAATAAACCCCAAATACTATGGACAGCTGTAAGGCTAGATAAGCAAAAGAAAAACAAGGAGGACACTGACATCAGCCATCTTGAATTCCTAAGACATAGCCACATGCACAACAGAGAGATCCTCTTGGAAACCAAACATTTCTGTATGTTACTAAGACATTGTTCAAGCTGTATTTTAAGAGAATTTGTAGCTACAAGAAAAATAAAATGGCACAAAGCTGATATATTCTTTTAAGTGTCAGCACTAGCAAACCTGAAGTTTGAAGTAGTATCACTTTGAAGTAACTAGCTTAGGAAACATACTGAGCAAAGCATCCCATACATTTTAATAAGCTATGCAGTCTGCATAAATTACAAGTTGCCATTTGTTTCACCAGTCTGGAAAATACTCACCTTGGCAAAGTTAAATGCAGGAGCAAAATGACTAAAGAACTTTTCTCAATTTCCCATTTTCTTACATCCTGAAGAGGCCTTTCATTCTCTGTTGAAAAATTAACAACTTGAAAGAAGTACCCCATTGTTTCACAGACTCTCTGAAGTTTTGGGGAGTAGTTCTGAAAGCAAATGTGAGCAACAGTGCTCTATTACTAACCATGCACAGCACTAAGGATCTACCAAACAAATCTCAGTTTCTTTTATCTAAGAAGCTTGTTCCCCTGAAGCCCTCGACAATACTTTCACTGATTTCACTGAAATCAGACTATACCTACTAAGGCTTTCACAAAGTATTAGACAAATTTCTGAACCAGCATCACACTGGAAACAAGACAGCATATAAGTGAGCACAGGTTTAGGGGTACTCACTCTAATGAAGATGGTCACTTCTGGCTGAGTCTCATCAGTACTGATAATGTAACATCTTACTGTGTTACTCCACAGTGAGTGGGAAAACAGAGGAGTAACCTGCAATAAACTGGCAACAGCAGCATCCCAATCATCTGCCAATGGAAAAAGCCCCAAAATGAAGTCTTAAGACATCTTCACATGTCATCATACTGCATAACAGCTGTCATCACCTCTTAACATCAAGAATACTACATTTTATTTAAAATAGTAGTAGTGTTTTTACTCAATTATTTAAATTTTACAAATTTTCAGAACTCATATCATTTGGTAATGTCACACAATTTGATAATGTGGCAAAATAAAAGTGTTAATTATATTATCATCACAATGATATTTCCTTTAAAAAGGATTGATGAAATGTTTCCACAAAATTAAACTGATAGCATTATTGTAAAAGAAGTACCAATATGCAGGAGTAATAAATTCACTCATAACCAAACATTTCTTTTCCTTCAGATCTATGTATATTTCAATTAGACCATGTGAACAAATGACAGCAAAAAACTGTGGGAACTTCCTCTTCTGGAGAAAAAAATCCATTGCTTCCTGTAGCATTGTATGTTTATTCCCTACAGAAGCAATGAGTTTTAAAACTTTCTTAGGTTCTTCATTTTGTGACTGGTCATTCTTTCAAGATAGGAATAGGTCCTCTTCTCAGGACCACACAGGTTGATGAAAGGCTTAGTATATGAAGTTGGATCCATCACAGGGAAGACCCACCCCTCCCACTTTGCAGGCACAGAATTCTGAATCAGACAGAGCCTGAAGGACTGAACTAAAAAGGGGAAAACTGCCACCAAAATCAGCTATATGCAGAAGAGGTTCCAGAGCCAGGACAACAGTGAAGGAAACCAGAGCATCAGAAGCCGATTTACAAGAGGCCACTTGGGAAACAAAGTTCAAAAGCAGTAATTATTGACAAGAAAATATCAAGGATTGATTTGCATAACAACTGTACATCCTGGTCTTACAATCAGATTTCCATAAGTGGCCTCCTAAGCAAAGTCAAAGTCCATGCAAAATCAATGAACAAAACAGGAGTATATTTTATTCTGGTACAAATATGATGTTCATACCCAGGAACACAAAGCACTTGTAACTGTTTGCTAAAATCACTGCTGCACATACCATAGTCATCCATATATTAAACATAACTTCGCTACATTTTATTTTATTTTTAACAAAGAATTCCAAATAATCCTTTGGCTAAATTACCCAAGAATGGACAGAAAAGGATCTAAGAAGGAACAGAGTTACTTAAGCATAGTTGAAAAAATTCCACAGACACCTACAATTCCTGCAAGATAAATTACCATTACTTACCTCTGTTTATATTTGCAAATGGTCCCTCGACATCTATGGAGCTATGAGCAAATTCAGGACCTCTGAAAGACTGCTGAAGTTGCATCATACTACCCATGGATGGCTCACTTCCCAACACTCCTCCATTCCAGTATTCGGATTGTGCCCCTGTAGCTAAGAATTGGAAAAAGGACAAACAACCCTCTTCACTGTCACTACACAAGGTAAATTGTCAGTGCTAAATACTCCAGCCATATGCCATTGACCATAATTTTTTTCTTTCAGCAGATTTTCTCACACCTTTGTGTGTGTAGCTCTAAATGGTTGCTTGTCCAAAGTTAATGAGAATCCATGACACCAAAGATTGAGGGTATAGCCTAATATTTGCTATTACAGAGATTGCTCATATACCCATCTGAATCATTTCCATGTTATTAAATTCCTCATACAGCATATATAAGAATTTGTATCTACTTGTTCTTTATTAAACATCTAATTCTGCTGTTCTGGAACACACAGCAGCAGACACTGGCATATGTCATCATCCAAGGTGTCTAAGATTCCCTCTAGATTCAGGTGTGATTTTTGGATATGCTGGAGAATCATCTCTCAGATACAGAATTAGAAAACCCAGAAAAGACTAGAAAACTCAGAACAGTTCATGGAACAACTATTAAAAAGTGTTCAAGTAACTGTGTCTACATAGTACTCTGTCTTAATTTATTCATTTTTAATACTAGAAATGTGAGGTTCCCACAATCTAAACCAAGTTTGCCAGGTTTGTTACTTTTACCCTTCAAACTACTTTAAGTTGCTTTTCATCTGGATTAATAAAACTTTTTTTTCAAAACAACATAAATATCTGTCTTCTGCTTTACTATTTGGAGACTTCAGTCATGGTCCAACATAAAATGTTGGGAATGAAATTCTCACCTGTAACATCTGTACAATTATCGTCAGAATCAGACTCTTCAGGATCAAACACTTGGATCCCCTGGGCCTGCAGTCTCTGGAGTTTTGCTTCTAGCTCTCGTTTGGCCCTCAGTAAGTCCTGAATCTCATTTTCCTTAGTTTCTCTAAAAATCTATCAGCAGGAAGGAAAAAAAATCAGTATATTCCTGAGCTCATGTTATCTACTTTCATTAGGAAAAGTAATTAATTTACCAGACAAAGGCATGAAAATGTCAATCTGAAGCCATCATGAATCAGGAATGAGCAGGAAACCATAATTTAAAATTATCTATTTTTAAAATTTTACCATTGTAAACCTTAGCATACCATTGCTAAAGAAGCCTCCATTAGCATGTTCATTAAAAATTAAAACAACTTTTTACTTTTTAGACTTTATTGTCTTCTATTGCTACATATAACCTTTCAAAGGTTCCCTTTTATTCTTCCATGTATTTATTTACAATTACATATGATCTTGAATTTACATTTTATTGTTGCAGAAATTTAAATTTCTCATGTCAGAAATTGATCAAGCATCTCCAGCTGTCCTGTTTGTAACTTATTACCATCATGTGGGAAAGAAAACATGAATATAGTTTTAAATTCAAAGAAATGAAGTAGTCTTCAAGTCTCATTTTCTTAAATAAGATCAGAATCAATCCTCTTTTTATATATCTGACAAACATGAACTACATGTAGCTAACGACAACTAAAATGAAGGACATAAAGAATCTTGAAAATGGTGAAAAACTAGGACCTACTGCCCTGTTTTGAGTGGCAAAAGTATCATCTGCAGCAAAGGAAAAGCATAAACATCTGCCTGGCCTTTCAAGTCATCCCTGCAGAGAGTGCAAACTGTCTCTATCATATTTTTGCAGTCAAAAGAGATGCACCAATACACATTTTTTAGAGAAATGTAAGCTAGAGGCATTGCACCTTACAATACAAGATACAAAATTATTCAGAAATAATGGAACTCTGTGTTTATACATTCATTAGGCATGTATCAATTTGCAGCTCGTTTTCTTGTCACTCTCAAATATGAATATACTTCTGTGTTCAAATTCAATGCAGAAATTTAATTTATGATGTATGACTTAATATTCTTCTTTCAAAAATTATAAAGTTATTTCATATTTTTTTCCTCTTAGTATTACAGAGAGATTTCAGTAGGATTATTTTAATGGAAATGGGCAGCTACAGCTATGACACTCTAAGGTGTCTTTAAGAAGGAAAGGCCCTCATGAAAGCTATTGGAGAAGGGTTCATTTGGGGAATGTGAACAAGTGACATCCATCTTTTTTTGGTCATTTTCCCAGGAATAGAAAAGTCAAACCATACCTTGAATTGCCTTTTGACCTTGTCTCGATCATGTTCAAAAGTAGCAGCTCTCTCCATGGCTTGGTATTTAGCTTCTAATGCACTTTCTTTCTCTCTAAGTATTTTCTGGTATGTTTTCTGAAGTGCCTGAAAACATTTAGTATTTCATTTTTTTTCAGAGTTTTATTACCGATAAGAGGTTTTAAATTACTTTACGGGTCTGACTACAATATTATCTCAGTGCCCTACATCTCTCCTTACTTGTAGGGCAGCCAGAATAAGAGAATATTCTGAGTTGCAAGGGAACCACAAGGACCATCGCGTCCAACTCATGGTCCTGCACAGGACACTCCAACAGTCCCAGCACCTGCCCGACAGCATTGTCGAAACACCTCTTGAACTCTGTCAGGCTGCTGCTGTGACCACTTCCCTGAGGAGTCTGTTCCAGTGCCCAACCACCCTCTGGGTGAGGAACCTTTTTGTAGCATCCTGCTTAAGCCTCCCCTGGCACAACTTCAGGCCGCTCCCGTCTCAGGTTGCCACGGCCGCGCAGGGTGCGGCCCCCATGCCCAGAAGAGCACTTTGACAGCATCCCGATGGCACAGCAGGACAGCACCGGGGCACCACTTCCCCAGCACCTCGCCTTCCCTCGCACCCGTCACCTCCGTGCCCTGGCTTTCCCCAGGAAGCGGGAGGAGCCCCACTTGGCTGTCAGTGCCCGCACCCGCGGGGCAGCGGGCGCTACCTGCAGCTCGGCGCGCAGCCGCTTGTTCTCCCTGTCCAGCTTGGCCTCCTTCTTCACCATGGAGGCCACCTCGTTGTTCTTGCTGACGCGGAAGATCTCGTACTCCTTCCTCAGGCGCTCGTACTCGGCCACGCACTCCAGCTCCTGCACCGAGGCCGTCGACTTGAAGCTGGCGCCGATGAGGCCGCCGGGCCGGGAGCCGCCGACGCGGCGCAGGGACCCGCGCAGCAGCCGCGCCTTGGGCTTCACCTCCACCGGGATCTCGCAGGCCTCGCCGCCGCCGCCGCCGTACGTGTCCTCGATCACCTCGCCCACCGCGCCCGCCGGGCTCACCAGGGACGACGCCGTGCCCATGGCCCGCGTCCGCCCGGGCGAGGCTCTAACACCGAGCCCGGGGCTCGGAGCCCCCGCGGGGACCGGGCGGCGGGGCCGTGCCCGGCGCGGAGCCTCCCCGGCGGCGGCCGCGGGCCATGGTCCGCTCCCTGCGGCCGCCGGACGGGGAAGGGAGAGCGGGAGGAAGCTGCCCCGCGGGCCGCCTCTCCCCCTCCCTCCCTCCCTCCCTCTCCCGGCCGCTCCCGCCCCGTCCCGTCCCGCGGCGGCTCCCGGCTCTCCCGGGCTGGAGCAGCCCGGGATGGGGGAGCGCCAGCCGCCGCTGCAGCCGGGGGAAAAGCAGAGAGGGAGAGCCGGAGGGGCTGGCGGCGGGATTCTGCTGCTCTCAGCTAAAAGTGACGACGTTTTAGGGTTTTGCTGCTAAAAACGAGCTAATGCGGGGTCCCAGCAACTTTCCCATTCCCGCTGACACCATCTCAGCCTCGTCGGGGAGGATTTATCAAAAAGAAAGAAAAAGTTCCCATTTTCTCTTCACCGCGTCTATTTCTCAAGTGTCTATTTCTAATCTCTCTGTCACCTGCCGCGGAGCCCTCAGGATGCGCCGCATCCCTAGCTGATCTACACGATTACATCAAACTGTTCTCCTTGGCAGACAGGGACACTCAGGTTTTGCCACTAACTTTGGTTTTGAAGAGACCTTGGAGGGGGAATTACCCCTCACTGGTCAGAAGTTGTGACTTCTGAGACCAGCTGGCACTCTCCAAGGAGAGCTGCTAAGAGCTGGTAGTGGCACCAGCTAGAAGTGAGCGCTGGGAAATGGTGCCATGTCGTGATCGAGGTCGGCGCTTGCACCTTGTGTGCCTCCTATGAAATTTGTGAACTCCCTGATCAAAGACCTTCCCTGCCAAGAATAAGAAAACTGTGGATTAACAATCCCTTAAATTATCCTAATGGCATTTCCATCCCTGTCTCTCAAAAAACGCTGTTTGGTTCCTTCACCTATCATAGGGAATTCAGTGCAACAAATCCCCGTGGCTGAAGAGAACATCCACTTGTTCCCAAATCTCAGAATCTGCCCTACCTTTAGTGTGAATGACAAAAATGTCATTCACAAAAACTTTAAAAAAGATTTTGCCTCATGTATGTGCCAGGTTTGTTAGCCATGACCAAGGGTGCCATTTCTTCTTAACAATGATCTTAGAGATGTCTTTTCAATGAGACATTCCTGAGTTTCAGAATCTACTGGAGGGGGAAGTTACTTTAGTGTACACTAGTAGAAATAGAACAAAATATGTCTCTTTTTTCCCCCTGAGTTAAAACTTTGGGTTTGGAAAATATGTGCTTTTTTCCTCTCCAAATTTTACCCCATTATTTGCATGAGGAAAAACCAACTCATTTTCTGGATATAATTTATTGATAAGTTACATTCATGATGTATTCCATTTAAGCCCTGCTTCACTGAAAAAGACAGATACAGAATATCTGACAATAGAGGGAAGGAGAAGGGTGCTTCTATGTTTTCTCTAATATTGACAGTAACATAGCTTGCACAGTATTAGATGATTCAGTGAGTAAGTCTGCCATTCTGTAACAAGCAAGGCTCTTGGTTTCATTTGTGTGTTGGTATCAGGCAGTTTTTCCACTTCACCGCTGACTGAGCTCTGGGAACAATTGAAAATACAGTCATGCTGGTGCTTGAACGGAATTATTTTCATATTCTGAGTTTTTGAATATCAAAATCTGCAAGCTTTAAGCCTAGAATAAAAAGTGTAGTATTGTAAGAGCTTTTGTATTCCTTCTAATAATCCACTTGACATTAACAAATAGATTGGAAGAAGTGTAAATGCTGTTTCTCTAATGCTGCCCCTGGGTGCATTATGGAATTTTTATGGATAATAAAGATCATATTAACACAGCCCTTTCTAAACAGAAAAAATACACTACTTCCCTATTGCTTCCTGGGTTGGTTTTCCTAATGTTTAGAGATTAGAGACATTTACTTCAATATCTAATTTGTAAACTAACAAAGTGTGCTTTAAGTCACTGATTAGGACTATTCAAAAAGCAATCCAACTGTTCATTGCACAAATATTGGAAACAGTGTGTGAATCTGAGCTATCTTAGCTTTCAGAAATGAATTGCCATACAAAATCATTTGCTGGAGAAAGCACCTTATCAAGTTCTTTAAAAATTTCTCTTCATGTTTTTGCAGCTTTTTTAAGTGTCAATTGGACCAGCCAAATCCTTAGTCCTTTGAGCATATTGATGCTGGTTGTATTGTGTTACAAAGTTCTTCACTGGTCAGTGAAGATATTTGGGGTAGTTGAGCAGCTTCCTATTTGCCATTTCCATTATTTACATAATTTAGACAGTTTATTAAAACATTCTAGGAGTGAAATGTGCTGGGCTAACCTTGGCCAGCTCTTATTACTACATGATGTATTGTTGAAGTTTCTTATTCCTGCCTTTATTTCCTTTTAGGAGTTTTTGGTGACTGTTGACAAACAAGTTCTGTGGATCTAAGGATCTGTCCCATAGTGAAAAGTACAACTGCAGGAATTAGACCTTTGCAAGAAGGTTTGGTTTTATACATGCATTATTAAGTTCAGCTCTGAGTTAGCAGATGTTCATTTTATAAAAGAATGTATCTGATACCTATGCATTCCAGTAAAATTTAGTGTATAAAGTCAAGATATGGCAAGATAAGGGGAAGCTTAGGAAGGCTGAAGATGATAAGTTGTCACAGATTTATTAACCAGTAAAAATGAGAGTTGCTTTGTTTAGAATGAATGGTGATCATGACCTGAAAACAGAAGGTGCTTTAAATGAAAGACAGGTGACCAAACTTCTGCACAACATTCTTTCTGTTAACTCAGAGGCTGGAGTGACTTTTAAGGTTGTATACTGCAGGCACAAGCAAAGTGTGTTAAAAATCCTTCACAAATAAATATTAAATTGTTTTTGCCTATACTGAAGGGAGTTGAAAACATTTTATTATCTCATTATTCAAAAATGCCTTTGATGAAACATGATAAGGGAATTCTAGGGAGGATGTAGAGTTAAAATATGTAGAATGTAATTCTTAAAAAAGTGCTGTTGTACTGGATTGTACAGGCGTTTTACAAGGGCATGGAGTGATAGCACATGGGGTAATAACTTTAAACTCAAAGAGGGTATATTTAGATTAGATACTACAAAGAAGTTCTTTACTGTGAGGGTGGTGAGGCACTGGAACAGGTTGCCCAGAGAAGCTGTGGATAGCCCATCCCTGGCAGTGTTTGAGGCCAAGATGGATGGGGCTTTGAGCAACCAGATTTCATGGAAAGTGTCCCTGCCCATGGCAAGGGGGTTGGAACTAGATAATTTCTAAGGTCCCTTCCAACCCAAACCTTTTCATGAGTCTGTGGTTCTATGGTATAAGCTCTAAAAGGAGACTTGCAATTGTGCTGTTCTTTATTAACTTGATGTCTTTCCCTAGTGCTGTACATTGAGCACAGAGTGCAAATCTGAATACTTACTTACTCAGCTTCTTTGTTATATATAACGAGGCCTGATGATTTTTAATTGAGAGAATCTGTTTTGAATCTGGTACACTAGTTGTTCCTGAAACTGCCAAATCTTGGAATTACTTTGTTGCTTTCTTGGCCTGTTGTGACATCTGCATTTTGCTCATCTGCATGAAAGACAACTGGACATCTGCCTCTGTCCTCCTCAGAGACCTCTATTGCTAAGCATCTGCAGTTCCATGATTCACCAGCCACTCTGGCTGGGATGTAGGGTTCTGGAGCCATGTGTAGCAGAGGTGATGGCTGCTGGATGCTGGAGAGGTAGATGTCTTCTTCCCTTTTTCATGTGTTGCATCATGGATGTAGCTAGGTCCGTTGTTATGACTGGCTTACACTTTGCAATCTTTCTGTGACCCAACATGAAATTGTATAACTGGGATTTGAGTCATTTGAGGTGTTGTGAATATAGGAGGCAGGGTAACTAAGAAATTGAGAACAGTTCATCATTAGCTCAGCAAGTTAGAAATTACCATTCGTAAGAATGACTTAGTCATAAATTTTTTTAGAAGTAGGACCGTACTATTGAAGTCTGAAGAAATGTGCTGAAAATCCCATCTAAAGTGATAAGATAATTTTTTATTTCAATAGGCATATCAATGAGAGTCTCTAATACATCTAATACAGTATCTAATACAATATTTAGTGCATCTGCTTTTTATTTTCAAGCTAAAAGTAATTTAAAATACTAGTGGTAGACTGCTTAACAAATGCAACCTTGGGGCATTGCTCTAAGTTCAAATAGCTACTGAACTTGCTATGTTTCACTCAGTAACTTTGTTACAGTCTGGCAAGTTGAAATCATGTGCTTCTTTCAAGAATTCATTTGCTGAGAGGCCTGAAAATTACAAGGAGCAGACATGATGAAAATCATAATGAAGGAGAGGACATCTGCTTTCAAATGCTCCCACAACTTTTACAAGTCATAGCCCTTTACCACTAGAGGACAGCAAGAACTCAGGAAAATGTGGTTGTGTGAGGTGGTGAGAGAAAAGGAGAGAAATTGCTTACACAAGAGTTAAGAAACCCTTAGTTCAGAAGTTACATCCTTCTAGGTATAATCAATCTTCTTAAAGTTTGAGTCAGTTTTAGAAGATATTTCAAGACAAAATACGAAGGAGGCAGATAAATAAAAGCTGAAGTTTTAATGTAGGGCTTTGTCTATCAGTTATAGATGTTATTTGAAAAGTACAATACTAATTAGCTTTGAGAGCTATATGCTCTTTCCATTTAATTCATATATAGTTTTGTATTGATTTCAGCCAGAATAGAGCTTTGCTTTGAAATCTTAAATAACTTGTAGGTGTCCTGATTTTTGATGAATAAATTAGATACCCTTATGTAGAAAGGTTCTGACAATCTGTTATTTAGAATAGAAATAATAGACTGAACATATTGAAAAGGAATATTCTGCATCTACACCTATTTATCTTATTTATGTCTGTTACTTCTTATGCAAGGACTCATTGAAGGTTTCAACATAAACTATAGGAAATGCATTCAGAACAGTGCAATTCATAACCAAAGTCAAAATTTTCACCT